GAAAATGGAATGGGGATGGAGGAGGAGGGAGATTCTGATATTTATGGTGTTTTTTTAGGCTGGTGAAAAAAAAAATCTTCATGACCTAAAGGAGAAAAAAACGATGGAAAATTGTTGAATGAGATTTTTATATATATATTTTTTAATGGGAATAATTTTCAAAAATAAGTAGTGCGGTTGGTTTGGCAATCTGAAAATAAAGAGGTGTTATTTAAAAATGGAATCACATTTTTTTWAAATTGTTTAATTTGTGTTACCAGTAATAGATATTGACTGAATATTTAATTCAATTCAAAATGTTATTAATTAATTCATTAATATATAAGTTATAAATTTTGTATATTTATTATTTTACAATATTATATAATTTATTAGATATTATATTATGCATRTATGAAATAAATTAGTTTATTTTGTGTATTAAAGTTTCAATTTTAAAATTTAAAATTATTCAGAATGTTTTTAGAATTTATACGATTTGGATGACATAATCCAATAAATTTTAAAAAAATGAATCTATTTAATTAATTAAGTGAATCTAACAAAAACAAAACACACCATCTTAGCTCAACTGCATACCAAATTTGAAAATCAATTTCAAAAGTAGCTTGGTTTATGATCTAAAAAAACAAATTTAAAAACCAAATCTACTAAAATAAATCTATTTAATTAAGGTAAATCTATTTAATTAAGGGAGTCTGACACMACCTCAACTGAAATGAAATGCATATATTTATTTTAAAATTAATTTTAGAAAATTATCTTTGTTTAAATATGTATATTTATTAAACATAGGAGTTCAAATCYCATGATTTCAATTGATATTATGAATCGAATTCATTGATTTTAGTCTTGATTTGAAGAGTCGAATAAAAGGTATATTTTAAAAATTTATGAGATACTTAAGTTAATGGCTCGTTTACAATTTTTGTTGAGTTCAACGATTAAGGCACTTATTCGAAGTTGTTGGTTCAATAATTCGTCCTCGTACCTAGAAAATTTATTTTTAAGTAAATTATATTGGGTGGCAAAATATTATATATATTTAAAAAATACCATTACTTTGTTTGAAACATCATGAATTTTACTTTTGTTTTTATCATGGTATGGGGTTTTTTTAATTATTCAAATCAGATTATGATATCGGTAAAATTTAAATTTGTTGCTATATTTATAAATACAATTATTATTATTATGTATCTATAATGATTTGTTTTTTAACTCTCAATAGAATTTAAATTTTTAAGGTAATGACAGTGATTATGGAAACATGGACGTTGACRATTTTATCTAAAATGTTTGTGTTGTAACATTTTATTATTTATTAATAATCATAAGTTTCTTTTTATTTAATTTAAAATCCATTCAAGTTTTGAGAGGTTTTTATTACTAAATTGTGATGCAAACGTATTTTGTAAGYCAACGACACTCTCAAAACACAACGCACACAAATTCTCTATTTTATCTATTTTCTCTATTTTGCTATTTTAAGAGCAATTGACCAAAATATAGATGTTTTTTGTCGTGAAATTTTGAGCTCAAACCTAGTTGAATAGTAGTTTGAGCTAYYCAATGTTCCGAAGAATACTTGCTGCATCGTGATAAAGAAATATGCTTGAATCTCTGAGAGTGAGATACCACACCCCAATACAATTGAATACGTGCATTTTTCTACTATAACCCTTGTTTTGAACATCTACTAATCATTAACAAATTTATTGTTGATTTGAACATTAAATAGTTGACCGTAGTTCAAAAATCAAAGCATCTTACTCGTTTTGTTCAATCTCAAATCTCCATATTGATTGTACTATGAAAATAAAAAATTGAATATGTTGAACAAAATGGATATATCATAATTTATTGATGAATGTTATTGAGTCTATTCTACATCAACTTTATGAAAAATATATTTATGAACATAACCCGTATAAAAAGGTGCATAATATGATTATCAATACTRATTGATTTTTTAACCATCTTTAAATAATCAACAAGATTCTTAACTAATTTTCCTAAGTTAGGCCCTGTTTTGAAGTCGGATTCTTGACTTGCGTTACTTTAGTAAGGTTCGAAGCGGTGAATATACGTTAAATATTTCGCCAAAACTTTTTTGGAATTGTAGAATGAAGAAGATCCATAAGAACCTCCTATTACATTGAACACATAATCTAAAAAATAATTAATCTATCTYATGGATTCCATTGTGTAACCTAAAATTAACTTTTTGATTCATCAAAGTATCCTATATATCTCTTACATATTTTGGTGGGTGAATTAAAATATTAAACTACATCAATATAAACAATCATTTATTCTATAGTGGAATCTTCGAATCCATCTATTCTCTCGACAATGATAATTAGACGTGATCGAATCATCATTAAACTTTTGACAAATAGAGAAAAATGCAAAAAAGAAAAAAAAA